TTTTTGGTCAAAAAAATTTTGATCAAAAAAATTTTGGCTCAAAAAATTTTCGGAAAAAAAATTTTGATCAAAAAAAATTTTGGTCAAAAAAATTTTGGTCAAAAAAATTTTGGTCAAAAAAAATTTGGCCCAAAAAATTTTGGTAAAAAAAAATTTCGGAAAAAAAATTTTCAGTGGTCAAAAAAAATTTGGCCCAAAAAATTTTCGTCAAAAAATTTTTGGTTAAAAAAATTTTGGTCAAAAAAAATTTGGCCCAAAAAAAATTTTGGCCCAAAAAATTTTCGGAAAAAAAATTTTGGTCAAAAAAATATGTGTCAAAAAAATTTTCGGAAAAAAAATTTTGGTCAAAAAAATTTTGATCAAAAAAATTTTTGAGAACAGTCACATTTTTACATTTGACAGCGCCATTTTAATTCAAAATTGTGACTGTTCTCTTGGTAGAATAAATGATTTTAGTACGAAAAATATTCAATTTCATACAAATTCTCGTCAAAATCGTTTTGATGTATTAGGAGAACAGTCACATTTTTACATATGACAGTACGTCGACTGAAACTTTTGTGTTGTGCACGACGTGCAATATAGCTAGGAAAATGTTAGTCAAATTGAGTATTTTTCAGTCACAATTTTGACTAACATTTTCCTAGCTGTATTGCACGTCGTCCACAACACAAGTTTCAGTCGACGTGCTGTCAAATGTAAAAATGTTCTGCTGATACATCGAAACGATTTTTCCGAAAAAATTTTTTTGGCCAAAATTTTTTTTCCCAAAATTTTTTTGTCCAAAAATTTGGTCAAAAAAATTTTGGCCCAAAAAATTTTTGAAGAAAAATTTTTGGTCAAAAAAATGTTGGTCAAAAAAATTTTTGTCAAAAAAATTTTCGGAAAAAAAATTTTGGTCAAAAAAATTTTGGCCCAAAAAATTTTCGGAAAAAAATTTTTGGCCCAAAAATTTTGGTCAAAAAAATTTTGATCAAAAAAATTTTGGCCCAAAAAATTTTCGGAAAAAAAATTTTGGTCAAAAAATTTTTGATCAAAAAAAATTTGGCCCAAAAAATTTTGGTCAAAAAAAATTTGGTCAAAAAAATTTTGGTCAAAAAAATTTTTGGTCAAAAAAATTTTGGTCAAAAAAATTTTGGTCAAAAAAAATTTGGCCCAAAAAATTTTCGTCAAAAAATTTTTGGTCAAAAAAATTTTGGTCAAAAAAATTTGGCCCAAAAAATTTTGGTCAAAAAAATTTTCGGAAAAAAAATTTTGGTCAAAAAAATTTTTGATCAAAAAAAATTTGGCCCAAAAAATTTTGGTCAAAAAAAATTTGGTCAAAAAAATTTTGTCAAAAAAATTTTGGTCAAAAAAAATTTGGCCCAAAAAATTTTTGGTCAAAAAAATTTTGGTCAAAAAAAATTTGGCCCAAAAAATTTTGGTCAAAAAAATTTTGGTAAAAAAAATTTTTGGTCAAAAAAATTTTGGTCAAAAAAATTTTCGGAAAAAAAATTTTGGCCCAAAAATTTTCGGAAAAAAATTTTTGACCCAAAAATTTTTGGTCAAAAAAATTTTGATCAAAAAAATTTTGGCCCAAAAAATTTTCGGAAAAAAAGTTTGGTCAAAAAAATTTTTGGTCAAAAAAAATTTGGTGCAAAAAATTTTAGTCAAAAAAAATTTGGTCAAAAAAATTTTTGTCAAAAAAATTTTCGGAAAAAAAATTTTCGGAAAAAAAATTTTGGTCAAAAAAAATTTTGGTCAAAAAAATTTTTGTCAAAAAAATTTTCGGAAAAAAAATTTTGGTCAAAAAAATTTTGGCCCAAAAAATTTTCGGAAAAAAATTTTTGGTCCAAAAATTTTTGGTCAAAAAAATTTTGATCAAAAATATTTTGGCCCAAAAAATTTTCGGAAAAAAAATTTTGGTCAAAAAAAATTTGGCCCAAAAAATTTTGGTCAACAAAAATTTGGTCAAAAAAATTTTTGTCAAAAAAATTTTCGGAAAAAAATTTTGGTCATAAAAATTTTGGCCCAAAAAATTTTCGGAAAAAAATTTTCGGAAAAAAATTTTTGGCCAAAAAAATTTTTGGTCAAAAAAATTTAGGAAAAAAATTGGCCCAAAAATTTTTGGTCAAAAAAATTTTGATCAAAAAAATTTTGGTCAAAAAAAATTTGGTCCAAAAAATTTTGGTCAAAAAAATTTTTGGTCAAAAAACTGACTGTTCTCCTGATACATCGAAACGATTTTTCCGAAAAATTTTTTTTCTAAAATTTTTTTGGCCAAAATTTTTTTTCCCAAATTTTTTTTTTCCAAAAATTTTGATCAAAAAAATTTTGGAAAAAAAAATTTTGGTCAAAGAAATTTGTGCAAAAAATTTTAGTCAAAAAAATTTTTGGAAAAAAAATTTTGGTCAAAAAAATTTTGGAAAAAAAATTTTTGACCAAAAAAATTTTGGTCAAAAAA